CGTCAGGGCTCTCAGATCTGCTGCTGTTGACATTGTGGGCCCTTGTGGGCAGCCATCCACACCGCAGACTTAGCAGCATAGATGGCCTCTACTTACCACGGTTCAGAAGCAGCCCCCTCTCAGCTGTAACAGCCACAAGTCTCCAGCTGTGGACATGTCATCCACACGAGCAGCCTCCCCCAGCCCCATTCAGAGAGGTGCAGGTGTCACAACTGATGGACGGATTCTGACCCCTCATTCCAGCCACAGTCCCTGGTTTGAGCCCACTCTTGGTTGTGGAGTCAGTTTTGACAACACGTGGTAGGCGTCCGCTATCCGTGTGGCATCGCGGCCTACAGAGCCTGTAATGGGCCTCTTCACCCCTCCCTCCTTGGTAGCCCCTGGAAGCTGTTGGCAAAACTGCAGTCACTGCAATTCTAAAGCCCAACATCTCATGTTCATCGTGGGTTTTTTGGTTTCATAAGTGCCTGGCCTTCTTAAAATTGTTAAATGAAATCGCTATTGATCTCCCTGCAGATCTTTCTTACTCCCCAAATGGCCACAACAGCCGGAGCTGAGCTGATCCAAAGCCAGGAGCCAGGAGCTTCTTCCAGGTCTCCCACATGGGTGCAGGGGCCCAAGGACTTGGGCATCTTCTACTGCTTTCCCAGGCCACAGCAGAGAGCTGGATGGGAATTGGAGCAGTCGAGACTTGACCAGCGCCTGTGTGGGATGCTGGCACTGTAGCTGCAGCTTACCCACTATGCCACAGCGCCAGTCCCACACTTTTTCCTTTTAATTATTTTGAAGGTTGGAGACACATACATACACACACACACACACACACACACACACCTGGCACCCAGTGGTTCATGCCTCAGATGCCTGCAACCGGGCCAAGCTCAAACCAGAAGCTGGGAACCTGATCCAGGTCACCCTCAGGGGTTTCAGGGACCCAACCTCTTGGGCCAGCACTCGCTGCCTCCCAGAATACACATTAGCAGGAAGCTGGAATCGGGTGCCGAGGTGGGATGCAGGCAGCCCAGGTGGTGCCTTAGCCACTACACCAAAAGCCTGCCCTATACACCCTCATAGTAATGACGAGAAGCTGAGTGCCAGCCAGCTGGGCCGTCTCAGCAACTGATCTCTGTTCTTCCTGGCCATCACCAGCCACGTGGGACAACACCTCGTCTCCGCCTCCCCCAGAACACGCACTGCATCCACCTGGGAACACGGCACCACTGAGCCCCAGAGATGGAGCACTTTGGTGCCCCCCAGCTCCCCTCCTTGACGCCCTTGGCGTGGTTTACAGCCAAACTCGGCTCTGCACTTCCCCACCCGTGTTTGCTCTCACCGCCCTCATCTCTTCCGTTCTGTCTTCAGCTCCCTCCGGTTGGCTCCTCCCTGGTCTCTGTGTCCCCGGGCCAGCTCCTCCTTTCTCAGCCGCTCCGTCCTCCATCCCGCCCTGTGCCATGCGGCCCTCAGCTCTTTGCCCTCTAACTTCTGCCTCCTATACTTCTCTCGATAAAGGCGTCAGGGCCTCTTAGTTGTTGCATGAAACTCGGGGGTTTCCTGAGCCCTGTGCTGTTTGCTTCTCTGACCCAATTCCCTTCCCTCCGCTTCAGCTGTAAACGCCTGTACCTCCATTTTATATATATATATATATATATATTAAATAAATAATATATATATTATTTATTTGAAAGGCAGAGTTCCAGAAGAGAGAGAGGTTCACTCCCCCAAATGGCTACAATGGCTGGGGCTGGGGCCAGGCCTAAGCTAGGAGCCTGGGGCTTCCTCCAGGTCTCTCACGTGGTGCAGGGGCTGCATGGACCTAGAGCAGCTGCAGGCCGGCAGCTTTGCCCGCTGGGACACAGCCTGGGGCACCATCGGCTTCCACATGTTGGTGTTTGCTTTGCTATCTGCCGGCAAGGAAGGGAAACAAGCGTCTGTAACTGTGCAGGAACCCAGAACTTCCATCAACAGCCAGTGAAGGGGACGCCGCCCGCCATGCAGGTTCGAGTCCTGGCTGCTCCACTTCCGACCCAGCTCTCTGCTGTGGCCTGGGAAAGCAGTGGAGGATGCCCAGGTCCTTGGGCCCCTGCACCCACGTCGGAGACCGGGAGGAAACTCCTGGCTCCAGCCTGGCCCAAACCCCGGCCATTGTGACCATCTGGGGAGTGAACCAGCGGGTGGAAGACCCCTGTCCCTGTCTCTGTCTCTCTCTCTAACTTTCCTTCCCCCTCTAACTTTCAGAGACAGCCAGATGAAATCCAACGTCGCGAGAACGCGCCCGAATGGGCGTTGCGGTCGCCCGCTGCCCCTAGCCGGGTCCCCTGATTGGGAGGCAGGGACGGGCCCGGCTCTGCGGGCACGGCCGCGGGGGCTCCCGCACCTGGGGCTTCGCCCTTCGCTGCGCCCCTAACACCTGCCCGGCTCCCGGCAGTCCCTGCCTCCTCCCCACTCGGCTCCGCTCATCCTCGGCGACCTTCTCCAGTGTCCCGCCATCCGCAGGCCCAGGCCCCGCCGGCTCCCGGAACCTGCTCTTCGGGCCAGCGCTCCGCCGGCCCTCCGGGACTAGCCCAGGCTCCGCCCCCAGCCGGTCACCTGACCGCGCGCGGCCACTCAGCCTGCGCGCCTCGCCCCGGGGTTCTAGGCGGCCTCCCCGAGGCGCGCGGATTGGCCGGGGCTGCTTCGCCGAGCCAATCCCGACGCGCTCCGGGCCCCGCCCCCGCCCCGCCCCGCCCCGCCCCGCCCCGCCCCGCGGCCTGGGTGCCTGGCGGGCGCGGCGGGTTCGGGCCGCGCGGTGGCGGGAGGGCGGCCGAGATGGAGGCGGCGGCGACGCGCGGCCGCGAGGACAGCCCGCCGGAGAGGTGCGCGCCGTGAGGGGCGGGCGGGCCCGGCCGCCGCCGCCCGCCGCAGGAAGCGCTGCGGCTCCGCGGGGCGAGCGGCCCGCTGCCCTGTCCCGAGCGGCTGAGCGGGCGGCCGGCGGCGGGCGCGCGGGGGCGGGCGTCGGACGCGGGGCCGGGGACCCGGGAGCGGGAGCGGGGTGCGCGATGCGCTCGCGTTTTATTCCTGGAGAAGAGCCCAGACGCGGGCCCTCGCTGTCACCTCTCGGGAGCGGGGTGACCACTGCGGACCGGGACCGCCTCCCCCGGGGAGCGGGGTGACCACTGCGGTCTGGGACCGCCTCCCCCGGGGTGCGGGGTGGCCGCTGCGGGCCGGGACCGTCTCCCCCGGGGTGCGGAGTGACCGCTGCGGTCTGGGACCGCCTCCCCCGGGGAGCGGGGTGACCACTGCGGGCTGGGACCGCCTCCCCCGGGGAGCGGGGTGACCGCTGCGGGCCGGGACCGCCTCCCCCGTGGAGCGGGGTGGCCGCTGCGGGCTGGGACCGCCTCCCCCGGGGAGCGGGGTGACCACTGCGGACTGGGACCGCCTCCCCCGGGGCCGCGGGGCTGGGAGAGGCTGAGCGCCTTGGTGTTTGTGTCTCCCTTTCCAACCCCGGAAGGCGTGGAGTCCTTTCTGCTTAGGCGGTTTCTGAGGCTCGGGACCCTGGAACAGGAAGTGTGTGCGAGTCCCCCCGTAGCCGCTCTGCATCCCAGAGCACAGCAGATGGCGCCGAGGCGCGCGTTAGTGCCGCCCAGCCGCCGCAGCCCAAGAGCGTGGGTCAGGAGTCAGCTGACCCGGTGACCCGCGGTGCCCCCATCTCCCATCTCTGCTTATAGGAAGAACAGGCTTAAGGGCGCAGGATGCAAACTTCCTGCCTCGCGGGGAGATCCCGCCGCGGTAGTACCAGCAGCAGACCGTCCGGCCCCCGTTAGTACCAACAGCAGCCTGGTCCCCTCCCCCTCTAGTACCAACAGTAGACCAGTCCCACCAACCGTTAGTACCAACAGCAGACCCGTCCCGCCCCCGTTAGTACCAACAGCAGACCGGTCCCCCCCCCCATTAGTACCAACAGCAGACCGTCCCGCCCCTGTTAGTACCAACAGCAGACCCCTCCCGCCCCCGTTAGTACCAACAGCAGACCGGTCCCGCCCCCCCCCTTAGTACCAACAGCAGACCAGTCCCGCCCCCGTTAGTACCAACAGCAGACTGGTCCCGCCCCCGCAGCCTGGTCCAACTTCCAGAGCCTGGGCCCCCTGGGTGAGTGCCCGGCTTACAGGAAAGACGCTACGTTGATAAGCAGGACCCCCGGGGCCCACCTGTGGCACAGCGGGGTAAACTGGTGCTGGGGTGCTGGTTGTGCCTTGGGTGCCCCCCCCGCCAGCCCAGTCCTATAGGGCTGCGGGGTTCACCCAGGACCCTGCGCCCTGGGTAGGGTGTGCCCCTCTGACGGCTGTGCCCCATCCAGGACCCTGCGCCCTGGGTAGGGTGTGCCCCTCTGACAGCTGTGCCCCGTCTAGGACCCTGCGCCCTGGGTAGGGTGTGCCCCTCTGACGGCTGTGCCCCGTCCCCTCCTCCCTCACGGCCCTGTGCGCCCTGGGTAGTGTGTGCCCCTCTGATGGCTGTGCCCGCCCCCCCCCCCATGGCCCTGTGCACCCTGGGTAGTGTGTGCCCCTCTGATGGGTGCACCCTGTGCCGTCCCTCCTCCCTCACGGCCCTGTGCACCCTGGGTAGTGTGTGCCCCTCTGATGGGTGCACCCCGTGCCGTCCCTCCTCCCTCACAGCCCTGTGCACCCTGGGTAGTGTGTGCCCCTCTGACGGCTGTGCCCGCCCCCCCCCCATGGCCCTGTGCACCCTGGGTAGTGTGTGCCCCTCTGATGGGTGCACCCTGTGCCGTCCCTCCTCCCTCACAGCCCTGTGCACCCTGGGTAGTGTGTGCCCCTCTGACGGGTGCGCCCCGTCCCCTCCTCCCTCACGGCCCTGTGCACCCTGGGTAGTGTGTGCCCCTCTGACGGCTGCGCCCCGTCCCCTCCTCCCTCACGGCCCAGTGCGCCCTGGGTAGGGTGTGCCCCTCTGACTGCTGCACCCCGTGCCGTCCCTCCTCCCTCACGGCCCTGTGTGTGTCCTCCCTCCAGGAAGATTTACATGGACTACAACGCGACCACGCCCCTGGAGCCGGCAGTCATCCAGGCGGTGGAGGAGGCCATGCAGGACGCCTGGGGCAATCCCAGCAGCTCCTACCCCGCAGGTAACTCCAGGACGCGAGCCCCAGGCCGCAGGGGCGCAGCCTGCCGCTCGGGCCGCCTTGTTTTGCCTGATTGTCAGCTCCAAGTGCTGAGCCGGGACTTCGGTGCTTTCTCCTCTCCGCACAGCTCCCATTTGTAAACTGAGCCTCGCGCTCCATCTTTGACCTGCCCCCTGCACCCTCATCCGCATGCAGTGTTTCACAGAGTGATCGTAGGAACAGGCGGTGTAGCTGGCCCTGCCGGGCCTCGCAGTTTGCAAAGGAAGTCGCTTCAGCTGCCTGCATCGCACGCGGCTTTGGCCTGGTCAGTGTTGCTGTGGCACTGAGTGAATGCATGTGATGTTCTTGTTCCTGGTTTGTTCTGCGGAGCGGAGTGGGCGGTGTGCAGCCGGGGAGGCTGTGTGGCCGGGTCGCCATGTTTCTCGGACAGGGGCAGCCCCACAGCTGTGCTTTGACGTTCACCGGGACGCAGCTAGAGTCTCCTGCCTGCTAAAGCCACTTTCAGACGGAGCACGGTCCAGCCCTGGGACTGCGGACACCTGTGTACCCTTGAGGGTCTCTGTCCGTGAGAGTTAAAAACGAGGGCAGGTACTGATCATTCGTTAACTTATTTGTTGACAGAGCTTCTGGACTCTGCCCTGAGTCTAACCTCTCTTCTGGTGACATGGAACTTCTCACTTGGGAATGTGGAGAATAAGCAGGGACAAGCTTGGGTGTGACACCCGGGCAGAAGGAGCCCTCTGGGCCTTCGTGCAGAGCGGCAGCGGCTGTGGGTCGCCTGGCGAGCCAAGAGCCAGAGCTGTGTAGCCGCCGGCCACGGCCACTGCAGCGGCAGTGGGGGGTGGGCCCTGCCACCCACCTGGGAGACCGAGACGCAGCCCCTGGCGCCCGGCCTCCACCTGGCGCAGACTTGGCCGCTGGGGAGGAGCTGGCAGATGGAAGATCTCGCTCTTGCTCTGCCTTCCAAATAGATGATTAAATAAATCTTTAAAAAAATCTAAAAAGTGAATTACAATTCACCTTCTGTTGATACTCAGTAGAAATACAGACAGACACGGGGAAATCACCTCACCACAGAACAGCTCATTTCCACAATATCAGGGTTTGAAGCCTTTGAGGGGAGCTGGAGGAGCTGAGGATGGGCGGCGATTCCTGTGGCCTCGCCCGAGAGCAGGACTGCGTGGCCCTCAGGGCTGCTGAGATGACGGTGCAGCCAGTGGAGCCACAGGGGGCTCTGCCGGGGGGGGGGGGGGGGGGGGGGGGGGGAAGGCGGGGCTCTGCGGGGCGGGGGAGGCCGGGAGGGCGGGGCTCTGCCGGCCCGGGGTGGAGGTGGGGGGCAGGAAGGCGGGGCTCTGCCGGGCCGGGGGTGGAGGTGGGGGGCAGGAAGGCGGCGTTTGCATCTCACTGTCAAGCAGGCCTTGTTTTCCCTCCCCCGCCCCCAACAGAAGTTGTCAGCAAATATGGCAACAGTGCTATAAGTTTTCTTCTGAAACCCAAGATAGCGGTGGCCTAAACAGCCTACCCCTTACGCGTCTCGCGTCGTCTCTACCCGTCAGGACCCGGCCCTTCTGGGTCCCTCTTCTTCCGTCCTCAAGCAGCGCCCCCTTGTGGTCAGGGTGACTGCTGCGGCCCAAGGACAGAGAGGAGAGGTTATGTCCTTCAAAGATACTTCTAGAAGCTTCACGTCACCACCCTGCCCAGAGCTGTTCGCACGGCCGCGGCTCATTGCAATCTGACCTGAGAGGTGCAGTCTTCATCCTGGGCGGCCGTGTGCCAGTGGCCCCTGGTGGGGAGTGTCACTAGTGGGCAGCCCCAGCTCCGGTGGGAGGTGCCAGAGCCATCGCAGCACCTGCCTCCGAGGAGGGGGTCATGGGAGCGTGAACGTTTTCTTTTTGTCTCCTTTTTTTTTAAAAAAAGATTTATCTATTCTATTATTTATTGGAAGAGTTAGAGAGAGAGAGAGAGAGGTCTTCCATCTGGTGGTTCACTCCGCAGTTGGCTGCAACGGCCAGAGCTGTGCCAGTCCAGAGCCAGGAGCTTCATCCAGGTCTCCCACGCGGGTGCAGGGGCCCAAGCACTTGGGCCCTCTTCCACTGCTTCCCCAGGCCACAGCAGAGAGCTGGATGGGAAGTGGAGCAGCCGGGACTAGAACCAGCACCCATATGGGATACTGGCACTGCAGGTGGCGGGCGGCTTTACCCACTACGCCACAGTGCCGGCCCCTTGTCTCCTTTCTGTAAAAGTTTATCTAGGAATTGGCATACAGAGTGTAACAGAAGCAGAAGTGTGCTGAGGCCGTTTACGGAGCTGTCCCTCAGGCTCGCGAGGCGGATTCTAACTGCGTCAGTTACCAAACTGCGTTTGCCCCTGCACTCCTTCCCGGCGCTTCTCTCCGGTCTTCACGTGCTTCAGTGTGCTCTGGCTTCTCCGTCCTAGTCACTGCCGATACTGTTTTCCAACAAGCGCCCTTTGACGGGCAGCGTGGGGAGGACGTCCACCAGTGTGCAGTGTGCAGTGATGAGGTTTGCATGCGCACGCGCTGTGTGACAGCCCGGCAGGCAGGCAGGGGTGCAGCTCAGGCCCCTGAGTGCCACGGCTCTGCCATCGGCAGGTCCTGGCATGGCGCCGCGTCTCATGCTCTCAGGGCCGAGGGTCTGGGGAACAGGTGACAAGCAAACGAGCAGAAAGGCGTGGGGTGGAGAAGGCTCTAGGGGACCGTGCGGCGGGGCCTGGGCCGTGCCAGGGCTGCACGTGGCCTCTCTGGTAACTGGCTGTGCCGCAGGTGAGAGGTGGGGCCGGCAGGGAAGTGCTGCAGGGGGAGGCTGGGTTGGCGCTGAGAGCACTGGGCGGGGTGGGGGGGCTCGTGAGCCAGGCAGGCCCCGTGAGGGCCGGGGGTTCTTCGCCCCAGGAAGAGGCCTGGAGGGTTTGGGCCAGGGAGGAGCAGGTTAGCCTTCTCAAACGTGTTGGTGTTCTGACCACTTCCCGCGAAAGCACCCACAAAGGGCTCCAGCAAGCTCGTCTCTGTGTGCTGCCCGTGCTAGAAATTAAAGCTGAGAGACGTTAGGAATCGGAACTCAGTAGTTCATCACCAGTGACACACCTGTTACCTGCTAGTTTTATAAAAGAGGGCGTATCTAGTGAGAAGCATCGGACGGTTGTCATTCGGAAGTCTTGAACGTCCGGCTCTAGACGAAGGTAGCGGGTCCCGGCTGTGTGCAGCCTGGTGCAGCGTGCGCGTCGTGCAGCCGTTCGCTGTGAGAACTGCGCGTGAGAAAGGCAGGTGACGTCCTGGTGCCGTGTGGAAGCAGTGTCGATTCTGTGGGCCGCTCTCGGGAGCCGTCACCCGTGCCTCCCAGGCTCTCCGAGGTGGGACACAGGCATCGTAACTGCCGAGTTCAGTCGCCGTCCAGGGAAGTTGCCTTTTTGAGAAAGACGAGCCTGCATGATTGCGCGTGCATGCACGCACGTGGGGGAAGCCGAGCTGCTGAGCGCGGTCGTGGGGCTTCTCGCGAACGCCCCCTGCAGGTGTTGTGGAAGACATCACCTCTGCAGAAGACCTGCGTTCCCTTCCCCCGCGACCACCAGCCGCTGACGCTGCGCCCCAGCGCTTCTGCCTCACTGGCGTCAGTGTGGACAGCACAGTGCCCTGCCCGAGCTCTGGACACTCCACCACTCCCGGAGGGCCCTGCTTCCCCGCGCTCCCTGTCGCTGCAGTAGTAGCGTGCCTTCCTAGAAGCCTGGAATCTCGGGGCTGGTACTGTGGGTGAAGCCGTCGCCTGTGATGCCAGCATGCTTATGCGAACCGGTTCAAGTCCCAGCCGCTCCACTTCCCATCCAGCTCTCTGCTCATGTGCCTGGGAAAGCAGCAGGAGATGGCCCATGTGCTTGGGCTCCTGCACCACGTGGGAGACTCGGACAGAGTTCCTGGCTCCTGGTTTTAGCTTGACCCAGCCCCAGCACTGGGACCACTGGGGGACTGAACCAGCAGCTCACTCTCTATTCCTCCCTCCCTCCTCCCCTCCTCCCCTCCCTCCCTCCCTCCTCCCCTCCCTCCCTTCCTTCCTATGTCTATAACTGCCTTACTTCAAGTAAATAAATAATTTTAAGAGTGGAACCTTACGAGTAGCTTTGATGTGGCTCCTTGCCGCCGGCATAATTATTTCGTGCTTCCCCCGTGTGGCTGCCCATCTCAACCTTGGGTCTCCTTTTGGTGAGGAGCAGTGTGTGCCACCACCACCGGTGTGGATGCATTCAGCCGGGGCGGGCATTTGAACTGCGTCCAGTTTGGGGCTGTGGCGAGCAACTCTGCTGTGAACATCCATGGCCAGCCACTGGGTGGGCACCTGCTGTCTTTTCCCCGTACACAGTACTGGCCGCCAGTGCCCAGGAGTACGGGGCTGCCTCCTCTCGTGAGGAGCTGCCCGGCCCACGGCAAGGTGTTTGCACTGTTCTCTGCTCTCACTGGCAGCGAGTGAGAGTTTCCCTCCCCCACCCCAGCTCTCACCACCTGGAGGCCAGTGTGATAGGTCCCCGGAGGTAGTGGGTGGGTGTGTTGCTAGGTGGGGTAAGGGAGGTGTCTGCAAAGCACCTTGTAAAGTGTGAGGCCTGTTTTTAAAAAAGAACCCTGCAGAGCAGGTGTGAGAGGGTACAGGAAGCCTGGAGGCCTACACGCCACGCTGACAGCTGCCACTGCCCCCTGAGGCCGGTGTGGCAGGAGATGGGGCGGGCTCCTGCTTTGGCATCAGCTCCTGATTCTCAGGGTGAGGGCGTGGCTTCGCAGCGGGACCGGAGGACTAGGAATGCATTTAGCAAATGAACTCGGAGCCACGTCTCCAGGGGAGGAGGGCCTGTGCCAGGTGGCACTGCTTCCCGTGTTTGTCACGTGGCTCAGAGCCAGTCCTGATGAAGATGGCCTGGGTTCTCCTCCACACTGCAGGCCTTCGCCACAGAAAGTCTGCGTGGGGTGCTAAGGACTGGGAGGATTACTGTGTTTATTTGTTTTCACATTTCTTCTCTTTTAAAAAAAATTATTTGAAAGGCAGAGTTACAGAGAGAGACAAAGGGGGTCTTCCATCGGTTGGTTCACGTCTCAAATGACCACAACGGCCAGGGCTTGGCTACACAGGAGCCAGCATCCTGGAACTGCATCTGGGTCTCCCACGTGTGTCCCAGCACTTGATCCGTCTTGATCCCAGCAGGGAGCCAGGCTGGAAATGGAGTGGCCAGGACTTGAACCGCCCTCGTGTGGGGTGCTGGCATTGCAGACAGTGGCCGCGCGCCAGCTCCCGCCTTTCTCTTAGCAATGCTGGTTTATGATAGATATATTTTAGTGATGCTTCTTCACGTTCATTCTGCAAACGAGACTGAGCAGTCAGAAACGTCCCGAGACTCCGGGCTGTAGACCAGGAGTGGCCACCGAAGCGCCGGGACTTCCCTCCCGAGCCTGCCTGCCCTGTCTCCCTGCAGCCACGGAGCACACAGCCCCGGGTGACCGCAGGTGCAGGTGTGTCCCCGGCAGACACAGGACTGTGCCCGGCCAAGACATGCCATTGGACTGTGTGTTGAGTCATGAGTTCTGTTTTTGCCTATTTTTGTTGTTTTGCAGCTTGATCTTAAGCAAATTATTCCACCCTTTCATTCTCCCGTCTTGATGGACGGGAAGCGAGGCAGATGGCCAGAGCTCCCTCTCCTAGCATGCGGTAAGAAAGCCACGTCCTAGGGACCTTGGGGTTCCCAGGGCCCCTCCAAGCTTGCTCCTGGCTCCCACTAATTTCCTTAGCCCCAGTGGTGCTCACTGGTTACCATCGCACCGCTGCCCTGCCGCGTCGTGTCTAGGTGGTAGCATGGCGTCGCGTCCTCGTCGATGGGGTGTGTTTTCTCCTAGAATTGCCCACTCGGCGCTCTCGCTCCTGTGTGTTCAGTTGTTCTTGTACCGTAGTGGTCTCGTGTACCGGTCAGACTTGCACTGTACTCACGAGTTTCCTTTTTGGTCCCTCAAGGTCGGAAGGCCAAGGACATTATAAACGCAGCGCGGGAAAACGTGGCGAAGATGATAGGTGCGAACCCTCGAGACATAGTCTTCACCTCCGGGGGGACTGAGGTGAGCTCCCCCGCGTCGCGTTACTTCAGCCGTACGTTGTCATGAAATGCGGAAGTGGTTTGTTTGCTCCGGGTTTTGTGTTTTTTTTTTTTTTTTTTTTTTGACAGGCAGAGTGGACAGTGAGAGAGAGAGAGAAAGGTCTTCCTTTGCCGTTGATTCACCCTCCAATGGCCGCCACGGCTGGCGCGCTGCGGCCGGCGCACCGCGCTGATCCGATGGCAGGAGCCAGGAGCCAGGTGCTTCTCCTGGTCTCCCATGGGGTGCAGGGCCCAAGTACTTGGGCCATCCTCCACTGCACTCCCTGGCCACAGCAGAGAGCTGGCCTGGAAGAGGGGCAACCGGGATAGAATCCGGCGCCCCGACCGGGACTAGAACCCGGTGTGCCGGCGCCGCTAGGTGGAGGATTAGCCTAGTGAGCCGCGGCGCCGGCCTGTTTTTGTTTTTAAGAAAGAGTAATGCAGCCGGTGCCGTGGCTCACTTGGCTAATCCTCTGCCTGCGGCGCCAGCATCCCATATGGGCACCGGATTCTGTCCCGGTTGCCCCTCTTCCAGTCTAGCTCTCTGCTGTGGCCCGGGAGTGCAGTGGAGGATGGCCCAAGTGCTTGGGCCCTGTACCCCATGGGAGACCAGGAGGAAGCACCTGGCTCCTGGCTTCAGATTGGTGCAGCACCGGCTGTGGCTGCCATTTGGGGGGTGAACCAATGGAAGGAAGACCTTTTTCTCTGTCTCTCTCTCTCACTAACTCTGCCTGGCAAATAAATAAATAAATAAATAAATGTTTGTGTTTTTTTTTTAAAGGAAAGAGTAATGCTTGATCTTGCTGCATTGAAAATTAGCTTGAGAATTAGCCAACATGAGGTGTATGCAAAATGCAGAAAATGCATGTTTTTTAAAAATGCATGGCTTTCCAATTCTTTTTGTACCAAAATAAACTGACACTAACTTGTTCAGTGTGTCTGATCTGAGACACTGAGAAGGGTAAGGCAGGAGCTAGGAAAGAGCCTCTCTCAGAGCGGCGTGAATTCTGGTTAAATCCGGTTAAAGCTGGAACGAGAGCGTCAGGTCTGTGGTGGAGCTTGATGGGCAGAACAGTGAAATCATTGCTGCTTTACGGGCAGTTCACGGGGTGCAGAGAACTGACCGGTGTGCAGTGGACAGCCTGTCTTAAGAAGGGACGAGGTGATGTTGAAGACGGAGCCTGCGGCCGCACCACCCACAGCAGTGCCAGAGAACAGCTGGACGGAGCCTGCGGCCACAGACCACCCACGGCAGTGCCAGAGAACAGCTGGACGAGCCTGCGGCCGCACCACCCACAGCAGTGCCAGAGAACAGCTGGACGAGCCTGCGGCCTCACCACCCACAGCAGTGCCAGAGAACAGCTGGACGGAGCCTGCGGCCACAGACCACCCACGGCAGTGCCAGAGAACAGCTGGACGGAGCCTGCGGCCACGGCAGTGCCAGAGAACAGCTGGACGGAGCCTGCAGCTCCACCATCCACGGCAGTGCCAGAGAACAGCTGGACGGAGCCTGCAGCCCCACCATCCACGGCAGTGCCAGAGAACAGCTGGACGGAGCCTGCAGCCACAGACCACCCACAGCAGTGCCAGAGAACAGCTGGACGGAGCCTGCGGCCACGGCAGTGCCAGAGAACAGCTGGACGGAGCCTGCGGCCCCACCACCCACGGCAGTGCCAGAGAACAGCTGGACGGAGCCTGCGGCCCCACCACCCACGGCAGTGCCAGAGAACAGCTGGACGGAGCCTGCGGCCACAGACCACCCACAGCAGTGCCAGAGAACAGCTGGATCTCGCTTGCGCCCTGATGATTGACAGCAGAGGCAGCCAGCACCACAGACGGTCACTCAGCTGCACGGCTCTGGAGCCGGCTTTCCCCCCAGTGGGCGCCCGGACCCTGATGCATGTCCTTGAAGAACTGTAGCAGGAGATGACGCGCGCTGGACCAGTATGGTCCTGAAGACAAAACACAGCCAAGCATTGGCTCCCAGTGGCGGGAGCAGTCCAGCCCAAACCAGAGCAGACCGGGCAAGAGCCAAGCTCACGGCAGCAGGTCTCTGGGTGCTCGGCGTTCTGCCTGTGACTTTGGCGCACAGGGAACACTGCTTGCTAGGAGAGTGTTTGGGGAAAGCCAGCCAGAGCTGGGCAGCCAAGCGCCAGGGACGGCTTCCCCAGGGAGGCCCCACGCAGTCTCTCCGGGGCTTCAGTGGGAAGTCGCTAGGCGTCCACCATCTGGTCCTGAGTTGGCTCCTTCTGACGTATTTCTGTCTCCTAATCTTAAAGATTCTCCAGGGGGGCCATTCTGTTGCTTTACAGTGTAAGACTGATTGACGTGGTCGCATTCCTGGGACCCTCAGGTCATGGGATGGCACCACCTACAGAGGTGTCTGGAACTTGGTGGAGCTGGTGCTGACATACAACTTACATCTTTAATTTCTATCCTGACTCCATTTCCACAAACTTTGTAAAGTCTCCTGTTTATCCTGTCAGTGAATTCCAGGTGGCTGGCCGCATACTGTAATCCAGGTGTAAAGTGACTTGCTTCGCGTCTCTAGTTCAATAGGGAGCTTCCCCTCCACTCCCCAGGAGTCGTTCCCTCGAATCCTTCCGCGTTGGTTCGTTACCAGGAGGCAGAGGTCGGCCTTCTCCCAGGGTTTCGTTTTCAATTGAAAGCCGGAGCAGGGGCCTCGCAGCCTCTGCTGAGTCAGTGACTCTGGGAAGGGAGGCACGATGGCTCTCACGGGTGACGTGGCATCCGGGTAGAAAACCCCAGAGAGTCTGCAGCTAAATTATTAGTGTGAACAAGAACACACAGTTTTTAGGTTTTGTGAGGCCGAGAAACAGAGGCAGGGAGGGGCTCCCCTCAGCTGCTTCAGCTCCCGGATGCCTGCAGTGGCAGTCGGCGCACAGGGGCTGAGGCTGGGAGCTGGGAATCCGTCCAGGTCTCCCACCTGGGTGGCAGGGACCCAAGAACTTGAGGCACCACCGCTGCCTGCCAGGGCCTGCACCAGCTGGGAGCAGAGCTAGGGATCGAACCCAGGCACCGCAGTATGGAACTGGGGTGTCTGAACCACCAAGCCAGGTGCCCGTGCCCTGTTGGAGGTGTTTGGTTTTTATTTATTTGAAAGGTAGAGTGGCAGAGAGAGAGAGAGGTCTTCCATCTGCTGGCTCACTCCCCACATGGCCACAGCGGCCGGAGCTGGGCCAGGCTGAGCCAGGAGCTTCCGGGTCTCCTCGTGGGCGCGAGGCCCAGCGCTGGACCATCCTCCACTGCAGCACTGGCCTGCCCTGGTGGGTTTCATATGTGCCAGCAACAAGTCAGGGTGTCCAAAAATGATCCAATACTTAGAAAATAAATCTGGCAAAACAGGATTTGTAAGACACCCCCTCACCACTGCCACCGCCACATCTAGGGAAGGTGGAATACTGCTGAGAGCCTTCAGAGAAGTTTTCAGTGAGTGGGCAGTGTAGCCTGTTCACAGACCAGCAGACTCAGTGTTATAATTTTTTTTTTTTTTGACAGGCAGAGTGGACAGTGAGAGAGAGAGACAGAGAGAAAGGTCTTCCTTTTCCATTGGTTCACCCTCCAATGGCCGCTGCAGCCGGCGCACTGCGCTAATCCGAAGGCAGGAGCCAGGTGCTTCTCCTGGTCTCCCATGGGGTGCAGGGCCCAAGCACTTGGGCCATCCTCCACTGCACTCCCGGGCCACAGCAGAGAGCTGGCCTGGAAGAGGGGCAACCGGGACAGAATCTGGTGCCCCGACCGGGACTAGAACCCGGGGTGCCGGCACTGCAGGCGGAGGATTAGCCTAGTGAGCCGCGGCGCCGGCCTCAGTGTTATAATTAATCTCTAGATTCGGTGTGGCCTTTAGCAAAGTTGTGACACTTGTTGGGTGGAGGCGCCCTGAGTGATTTATGTGGAAACAAAAGGCCAGGACCTCTTGAAGATTAGCACAGCGAGAGGACTCGCTCCCCCAGAACTCAAGTCTCACGGAGCCCTGCCAGTTGAGGCAGGGAGGCTCTGGGGCAGAAACGGCCGTGCGTGACCGGGCCCTGGTCGTGTGCTGAGGGTGCCCAGGACGGCTCCAGCACCCACCTGGGAGTGGGCGCAGTTGGCACCAGGCCAGAGTGCTCGTCAGTTTTCCTGCCTCAAGCAATCGTAAGAGCCTCGTGTGTGACCAAGGAAGGGCAGTGCTGTGGCCTTCTACGTGGGGTCTTCTACGTGGTGTGGGGACAGCTGAGCAGTCCCAGAGAGGAAGCCACTGCACTTCTGCCTGAGACCCCAGAGGTAACTCAGCTGGAGAAAGCAGACTGAGAATACGCTCTGTGACGTTGGAGTGGTGCCTTTGTGAAGTGTAACCGTGAAGAACACGTTGACGGCGTCTGTCACCACAACCAGCGTAAGTTGGTCCGACACTGAAGGAAGCAGCAGACAGACAGGGGGCAGGAGGTACTTACAACGGGCAAGCAGCGAAGGGCAGCACCAGGACACGGGCCTGTGAGTGCGGAGACACCTGCTCCTGGGACGCAGGAGCCTGAAAGCAGCGAGACACCTGTGAGCGGGGTGGAGGCCGGCACCTGGGGCGTGAAGCCGCTCCTCCAGCTCTTTCCAGACGGTCCGCTAGAGAAACGGACAGGAAGCAACTGCGTTATTCACAGAGGAGAACCCGAGTGCTTCCCTCCTCGGCCTCATTGGCCGTCAGACCAAAGGCGCGGCGACAGCGAGGCCCCTCCCCACAGCCGTCCTGGTGGGGAAGGGGAAGGTCAGGGGTACCACGCGGCGACCCTCCATGCTGACCAGAGGGTAAGCTGGAAGGCCGTGTTGGAAAGGGGGCTGGCCTGGTGCAGTGGGGCTGAAGTCCTGCCCCCCTCTGAGCCAGTGGTTCCCCCGGCGTGTGCGCGTCTGTCCTGGGAAGACGAGTGATGCAGAGCGGACAGGCCACGCAGCTCTGCACGACACGGATGGACCTCTGCTTGCTGAGTGAGGGAACTGGGTCAGAAGAATGAGCTGGACACAGGGAAGGCCGAGGGAGCGCGAGGCCGAGGTGGGGCTGAGGCGTCCACCAGCCAGGAAAGCCGAGGGCCGTGGCTGCCACCTGGAGTGAGGCAGAGTCCTTCCCTTACTGCTGATGTTGGAATTGAACTTCTGCCCCAGTGCTGCACACACACACACGGTTTAGCTGCGCCTGGCGGGACAGGGCTGCACTGGCTTGGTGGAATGTGGTGGTGGCACTGTGGACAGGGCTGCACTGGCTTGGTGGAATGTGGTGGTGGCACTGTGGCCTGGACGCCTGGTGGCTCTCCAGGAAGGGCCAGGCACTGGACTGTTGTGGCCTGGGAGGACGTGGTTGCATTTTAGACAGTCCACAGGGTCAGCCAGCACGGCCAGGTGTCTTGGGAACCACAGGATCCTGCCAGGTCACCGTGGGGTCCTGGGCTGCTTCTCAGCTGGTGGCGGGGGGGGGGTGCCCGGAACTACCCATCATTGCATCTTCTTTTCACCGTCCCCCCCAGAGGGCCCCCTTCCATGGGGCTGCAGGGCCCAGAATCACTGAGGGGGCATCGTGGACTTCTAAAGGAACTGGTCGGCTTCAGCCCCTCGGCCATCCCTCCCCTTGTCTGACTGGAAGCCGCTCAGATCGGGAAGGAACTGCTGGGCTGGTCCCCAGGTGGACGGCGGGGCTGGCAGCCACCTATTGAGTCTGCACACAGCCTGGCCATGTGTGCGTGGCCCAGCCCAGGACACACGCGTCCAGCAAGACTGCTGTGGGATACGTTCAGACGTGTGAACAGTTGGATCTTTAAGTGACGTTCAGTTCCATTCACATGAAGGCCAGCAAGACCACTTAGCGGTGCTGACCTAGCAGCAGGAGTGGCAGCCAGGCAGTGGCCGCCCTGACAGCTCACCTGGGCTGTGCGCCGGGAGCCCAGGCGGCCCCTCCCGGAAGCTGTGCCAGCCGCTCTCCCACAAGCCGTGGGGGCCTGGGTGAAATACTCTTTGTTGAAAGACATAAAATTTAAAAGTTCGCAATGCCACGTTACAACAAACGTGTAATGGACTGGAAATGAATTCTCAGGTTTGGGAAAGCCTGGGAGCCTCAAAAGTTTTGTAGTTCAGCTTTTCCAAAGATGCAGCTCGAGAAGGTGAATTTCTTTGAGGTTTTGTCTGCTTGTTCTCTACCGGTAACCACAAAAGACAGCAAGAGAGAGCAGTACTCTGACCGCTGCCTTGGGACAAGGTTTGTAAGTGCTTTTTCTGCTGTATCTCTGCAGTCAAACAACTTAGTGATCCATTCTGCGATGAAAACCTTCCACGAAAACAAAGCCTCCGGAGGGGGCGCGCTGGAGCACCCCAGCCCGGTAGAGGGGGCCACGCCCCACTTCGTCACGAGCACAGTGGAGCACGACTCCATCTCTCTGCCCCTGCAGCACCTGGCAAAGGAGCAAGTGGCCGGTGAGTGGACCAGAGCCCTCTGGAGGGCGGCCGGGGGCAGAACCGGAGCCACTCGCGGGTGGTCACGTTTCGTCGGACATGCCCGTTTCGTTTATCAGTAGTGGACGTTGGGAATGACGGGTTCTGAACACTGGTGTGGGAGTTCTCGCGTGGGCACACGTCTTCGTTTCTCTTGGCTTAAACCTAGGAGTGGAATCGTACGGTCATGGAACTCTAGTCTGCAGCACCTCTGCTGGACCCAGGCCTCTGCTCTCCCGAGGGTGAGGAGCTGTGCCGTTTTGTTATGACCAGCAGCTTACGCGGGTCACAGCTTCTCCAGGTCTCACCCACATGTTTTATCCATCTTTTTTATTAGGACTATCCTAGGGGGTGAAGTGGAATCTCGTGGAGGCTTTGGGTTTGCATTTCCTCGATGGCATTTTGCATGTCCTCATATATTGTCTTTGGAGAAATATCTATCCAAATCCTCGCCCTTCTAGAAACTGGATAACTTGTCCTTTTATTCAGTTCTAAGAGTTCTTTTTATATATTCTTGACACTAGTCCCTCACCAGATATTTAATTTGCAAGTGTTTTGTCCCATTTTGTGAATTTTTTTTCCTAGATAGTATCTTTTGAAAAACAAGCTTTTAATTACAATGACCTTTTTTTTTTAAAGATCTAATTATTTGTGGGGAGCAACTGGGACTAGACTGTTACTCGAATTAAGACTTATTTTATGCATCTGCTCGCCCACAATATGGCGCTGGGAGAGAAGAAAACAGCTTCTACACAGCTGCCTCCAGTTCAACCAATAAACAGCAGGACCTGCTCCTGATTGGAGGAGAGCAGCGTACTCGGCGTGTGGGTAGCAGAGTTGGGATTGGTGGAAGAGGACTATAAAGGAGGAGAGAGACAACATGCACCAGGAACATCTAAGGGGAACATCTATCTGAAGGAACACCTGTGCAGCCCCTGAGAGAGCCGGCCGGCGGTGTGCTGCTCCCCCGCGGAAGTGGGGAAAGTGGCAGGGGGAACCGCCCTTCCACGGAGGTGGAAGGGACGGTAGCCAACCCGGGAAGAACCAGCAGCAAACCCGGGGAGGGCCAAGCAGACCAAAGAACAGCGCAGGGTCCTGTGTCATTCCTCCACGAAGAGGGGGAGCGACATTATTTACTTGAAAGTCAGAGTTAGAAGGAGAGGCAGAGAGAGAGAGAGAGAGAGAGAGGTCTTCTATCCACTGGTTCACTCCGCAATTGGCAGCAACAGCCGAAGCTGCGTCGGTCCAAAGCCAAGAGCCAGGAGCTTCTTCCAGGTCTCCCACAGGGGTGCAGGGGCCCAAGCACTTGGGCCATCTTCCACCACTTTCCCAGGCCACAGCAGAGAGCTGGATCAGAAGAGGAACAGCTGGGACTCGAACCGGCGCCCATATGGGATGCCGGCACCGCAGGCAACAGCTTTATCCACTATGCCACAATGCCGGCTCCTCAATGACCTTTTTTTATTTTTTGACCTTTGTATCATATATAGGAAACTTTTGTCCTACCCAAGGCCATGAAGATTTATTTGTATAAATACATTTACAGATTTTATTTATTTATTTGAGAGGTAGAGTTACAGACAGAGAGAGGCAGAGACAGAGAGAAAGGTCTTCCATCCGCTGCTCCACTCCCTAAATGGCCACAATGGCCAGAGCTGGGCTGATTTGAAGCCAGGAGCCAGGAGCTTCTTCCAGGTCTCCCACGCTGGTACAGCAGCCCAAGAACTTGGACCATCTTCCACTGCCTTTCCAGGCTGTCAGCAGGGTGCTGGATTGGAAGTAGAGCCAACAGGACAGGAACTGGCGCCCATATGGATGCCAGCACCACAGGTGGAGGCCTAGCCTACTATGCACAGCCCTTGCCCTTCTATATATATATATATATGTGTGTGTGTGTGTGTGTATTTAGTTTTAGCTCTTATAGTTATGTCTCTGCGACATTTTGAGTTATTCTGTGTATGGTGTGAGTAGGAGCCCAGACTTCTTTTGGATGTGGACGTCCAGGGGTCCAGCGTATTTGTCAGAGTCTTCTCCCCCATCAGTGGTCTTGCACCTGTGTGAAAGGCCAACAACCATATGGTGGGAGTTTGCTTCCGGACTCTGGATTCTATTCCATTGATCTGCGTTTCTGTTAGGTTGATACCAGACTATTTTTGATTGTAGCTTTGTAGTAAATTTTGAAACCAGGGAGTGCAAGTCCTCTGAATTTGTTCTTATTTTTCAAGACTGTTTTGGCTATTTTAGCTGTCTTGAATTCCTCAAGGATTTATAGGATGTGCTGGTTAATTTCTGCAAAATGCAAATCCAGCTAGGAATTTGGTAGGACTGCTGGATCCGTGGACGGATTTGGTCATCGAGCGTGGGCTGCCTTCCAACTTGAATTCCTTCCGGTTTTGTGCTTTTCCAAGTTAAGTTTTGCACTTTCGTGAAATGTATTTTAGGTGGCGTTTTCTTATTTTGCCTTTGAGCTGTTTATTGCCAGCGTACACGAGTCCGTTGACTTTATGTGACTCTCGGAGGAGCGTACAGCCCAACTGACCTGATCTGTCACTTCCGATTCCTTTACTGGGTTCCTTGGGAGTCTCCTCTACAGAGGTGATGGGGTGGGCAGAGACGGTCTGGCTTCTTGCTGTCCTGGATTGTCTTTTATCGCCTGGCTCCCAGGATGGCACCTGTGAGCAGTTGGGGAGCAGGTTGGAGAGCAGGCGTCCTGGAGCTGCTCCCGTCTCACGGCCGCTCGTTGGCTCATCGCTGAGGAGGACGCGAGTGGCGGCTCCCACGCTGTCTTCTTCAGCTGAGGAAGCTCCCTTCCGCCCCGTCCTGTCAAGGGCTTTTGTTAGGAGGAGGCGTCCGCTTTTGTTAGTGCTTTTATTTGCATTTCTTGATGTGACGCCATGGTTTTGCTGTGGTTCTGTTGATAATGCTGTATTTCATGAATTGACCGTCAGCTGTTCAGCCAGTCTGCACACTTGGTCACGTGGCCATGGGGTATAGTCTTTGTCATATGTCTCTAGATTTGGCTCACTTTGATGAGCTTTGTGTCAACATTTGTAAAAGTTACTGATCTGTCATCTGTCTGGTTTGGTTTCTGTCGGGATAAAATTGGCTGGGACATGCTCCTCTACTGCTTTTTCAAAGAATTTGTGAATACTTGGGTCACTTCTCTAAATATTTGATAGAAGTTGTCAGTGATACCATGTGGTCCTGAGCTTTGCTATGTGGAGGATTTTTAAATTACTGAGTTGATCTCTTTACTTATTGTACTTATTGAATCTACTCAGATTTTCTATTTTTTCTGGAGTCCTTTTTTTTTTTTAAGATTTATTTAAGGGGCCGGCACTGTGATGTAGCAGGTAAAGCCGCTTCCTGCAGTGCCAGAATCCCATATGGGCGCCGGTTCAAGACCTGGCTGCTCCACTTCTGATCCAGCTCTCTGCTGTGGCCTGGGAAAGCAGTGGAAGATGCCCAAGTCCTTGGGCCCCTGCACCCGCGTGGGAGACCCGGAAGCTCCTGACTCCTGGCTTTGGATCGGCTCAGCTCCAGCCCTTTGCTGCCATTTGGGGAGCGAACCAGCAGATGGAAGATCTCTCTCTCTCTCCCTTTCCCTCTCTCCCTCTCTCTGCCTCTCTGTGACTCTGCCTTTCAAAGATTTATTTATTTATTTGAAAGGCAGAGTTACAGAGAGAGGCAGGGGCAGAAGCAGAGCGAGAACTCTTCCATCTGCTGGGTCACTCCCCAAGTGGCCACAATGGCCAGGGCTGGGCCAGGCTGTAGCCAGGAGCCTGGAGCTTCATCCCCAGGTATTTAGGCCACCTTCTGCTGCTTTCCCGGGTGCATCAGCAGGGAGCTGGATGGGAAGTGGAGCAGCTGGAACATGAACCAGTGCCCACATGTGATGCTGACACTGCAGGCTGCGGCTTAGCCCTCTACTATGCCACAGCGCCTGCCCTCGGAGTCCTTTTCGTTTGTGTCTTTCTAGAAGTGTGTCTTTGTCATCTGTTATCTGTGTTGTTGGCATACAATTTTTATAGTATTCTCTTGCAATGCTTTTTATTTCTATGAGGTAGGTAAACCCCCTCTTTCATTCATGATTTTAGTAATTTTTCTTTTTTTTCCCTCTGGTCAATTTAAAGCTTTGGATTGTTTTTTTTTTTTTTTTTTCCTCTTTTTAAAGACCCAACTAATGATTTTTCTGTGTTGGTTCTCTGTTCTCTATTTTAGTAAATTCCACTTTAGCCTTTATTATTTCCTTCCTTCTACATGTTTTAGCTTTAGTTTGCTCTTATTTTTCTAGTGTCCTAAGATGGAATGTTAATTATTGACTTACATCATTTTTTTTTCTAATACAGACATTAGCTGTTTAGGGGTCTATTCAATTTCCACATATTTCTGAATAAGTCGTACTCTGTGGCCCAGCCTTGTGGTCTGTGCTAGAGGATTTCCCACATGCACTTGGGAAGAATTTGTGCTCTGCTCCAGTTGAGTGGAGCTGTTAGGTCCAGTTGTTGTTGCTGTTAATATTTTAGTTATTTATTTGAAAGGCAGAGTTACAGAGAGAGAGAGAGAGAGAGAGAGAGAGAGGGAGGGAGGGAGGGAGGGAAAGACAGAGAAAGATCTTCCATCTGTTGGTTCACTCCCCAGATGGTGGCAACTGCCAGAAGCTTCTTCCAGGTCTCCCACGTGGGTGCAGGGGCCCAAGCACTTGGGCATCTTCTACTGCCTTCCCAGGCCACAGCAGAGAGCTGGATCGGAAGTGGAGCAGCCGGGACTAGAACCGGCGCCCACACGGGATGCCGCTGTCTGAGGCGGTGGCTCCACCTGGTATGCCACAATGGCCGGCCCCGTGGTCTAGTTGGTTCAGTCTTCTGGCCCTTTATAAAATTCTGTCCAGTTGTTGTGATCATGGTTGGAAATGTGAATCTGAATTATCCAGCTGCTGTGACCAGTTTCTCCTGTGTTCAGTCTGTCGGTTTTCGCTTCAG